AAAGCTAATGGACAATTTTATGTGAAAGATGGTAGCTGTGAAAACTTTGGCAAGGATGGTGCTAGGAGTGGGGTCTCCATTATGCTCTGTAGGACTTAATGTCGTTTCTTTCTGCATACTGCATTTTTGTTTAGAAATCTACCCTGTTTGGTTCAATTCCAACTGCATATATTTTCTATTTGAAACTTCTAGACTTTGAGGCATAAGAATGCCTTATTTTCTGTTGTAAAATAACATTCCTTTTTTGATTATATTTACAAGTGGCATAATTTCTACATAGGGAAAACCGATTTCTATGTAAATCATTTTATTAAATTTATTTAGAAATCTGAGGTTAGCCAATGTAAGCATCCTCAATTACCCTCCTCTCATTTTAAAGTCTCCACTGTCTCTTCTGTGTTTGTGCATTGTGAGGACACATTCAGGTCATCCTTCAGTTCTTTGTCTTGTGCCTTTTTCTCTTCAGAAGCATACCTTCTTACTCACTTCCCAAGTGTTCACTGGCTTATTTCCTTGCCTGACTGCATACATACCCTTTCTCCACTGTCTTGTGCCTTTAAGTATCACAAAAGCAAAACCTTCCTGCAAGAGCTTTTGTACTATTATTTGACTTCATTGCTAACGCCCAATGGCGTGTGATCTTCACTCCTAGCGGTGTAGTCTGTCAGGGGCTTCGGGCTGCCAGTTCCGATGGCCTTCCAGCTCATTGTCCACAACCTCGAAGACCAGCTTATTTTTATGTTTGCCTTCATGTTTTTAGGTTCCTTTTCTGAATCTTTTCCATATCCCCTAAATGTAGAATTTTTCCATTTTCCAAGTGCCTATATTTGAGTCCTTCTTTCTTTGTATTGCCCTTTTGCTATTAATTCAACCTTATTTATCTCCACATTAATAACTTCTACACTGACTTCTCTGATACTAACTTTGTGAAAAGTCCAGATGAAGGACTTCCAGCTAATTTGTATTTCAATCATTAACTTGATCATTCATTCATTGTTTTCATTGTAAATATAGCAAGGAATAGTTACTCCTTGAGAGCTATGCAATGGCTATGAACAAACAAAGGTCTTAAGTTCTTATGAGAGAAGAAGGCATAATAAAACAAAAAAAGTGTCATGTGGTAGAAAGTGCCACAGAGAAGAGGAAATCAAGTAACAGGAAACAGACTAGAACACATAACTAGTGAAGTCCCTGTACATGACAATCAGCAATCTGAAGGACTGAGGGCAAACTATGTTCATGTTCAAAAGCAAAGAGTTCCTCATGGGAAAAACAGGCCTTGAGATACAGGGAGCAAATGTGTGTGGAGTACAGTAAATGAAAGGCATTCTCTCCTTCCTTCTTATTCTGCTTTTTCATCTCTCTCATTCATTAGAGATAATATAGGCTGCTCCAACACTGAGATTCATCTTGAACAAATCTCAGACCTTAGATAGCCTTATGAGGTATGGAATCTTACTCTTCCTTTTCCCCCCAAATTTGAAGAGAAACTACAAAAGAGTTTTGAACAGAGAAATAATAACAGCTGACATATACAGACAAATGATTGTATATACACAGTAGCCTCTGAATGTCCGTGGGTGTATGGTTCAAAGGAGATTGTCACTGAGGAAAAATCACAAATGTTCAGGAAAACTCTAGAATTATAATGCCTAGAGTTTATTACTCAGTAATTGAAATTATTCAATTTTACCTAAACTGTATCTACAATAGGGCTGAGCATCCATAATTTGAAACCACATGGAATAGGTCATATTATTGTCACAAAATTACTGTTGCCCACATTAATACTGCTAAAAATAGATCTTATTTCATGCCCTTATCTCAAATACAGTGGATGCTTGTTTCATTTGTCCATAATGCCATTGAACTCTACTACTTGAACCACACCACTGTATCTAGCTTTTTGGTGGTTAACTGGAGATGAATTTTATGGATTTGTCTGTCCAGGATGGCTTCAAACTTGATATTCTCAGCTCTCAACTTCCTGAATAGTGCCTGCTTAGAAGCAGAAGATTGGGTTTAGCAGGTGATCCAACTAAGGGCTTGGTGTTCAACTGTTAAATATAAGATATATTTCAGTATGTGAGTTGAGTTCAATAATGACATTAAACAAACTACATAAGAGTGTCTAGTTTGGATAGATCTTTAGAAAACAAGGGTAGGAAGCCCAGATGCAAGGGAGCTCTGAGCTCTAAAGACATTAGATGCTTAAAGGCCAAGGAGATGTTTGAAGGGATTAGAATGAGAAAATGTGATAAGGAAGAGTATTTTATGAGGACTTAAAAGTACTACTACTTAGTTGTTTAAGAGCACGATTGAGAAATGTGTTTTTAAACCTTGAAGCCATAGATGATCTTGTCAGAGGATAAAAGCACAGGTAATTGACAGGATGAGAGAAATGAAGATGGAAAGTAGACTTTTTCAGGAAGGTATGTTAGAAAAGATAAGTAGAGGTGGTGGCTTGGTATGTACTGCAAGTTTTCCATTATTCGCTAAAGATGAAGAGAAATAACACAATGCCTGCTTTGCAACCAACTGATAAAGAAGGCACAATTGATTCAAGGAAGAGGATTATTACAAGTACTCTCATGTTCTTGTGGGAAGATTGGGGTGCAGGGTATTGTGAGAGGTCAGTTTGAGGAGGTGACATAGATGCTTTCATCATTATGGCAGAACAAAAGATATGACAAGTGAATACAGATGTAAGCATATGATTAATCCAATACAAATGTGAGATTCTCCCACCATGACTTCTAATTTCTTAGTGAAATAAGAGGATTATCAACTAACAGTAGGGAAAGGAAATTTGTGGTTTTGAGCAGAAAGTAGACAAAAATAATTTCCTAAGACTGAATGCTTTTGACAACATAGAATATGAAATATCACAGCCAGGTACCAGTGGCTCATACTTATAATCTTAGGAACTCAGGGGGACAAGACCTAGAAAATTATGGTTTGGAGACAGTTCTGGGATAAAAGTATTGAATATTCCATTTTCAATTAACCCACAAAATGCCAAACTGGATAAGTGGCTCAGATGGTTTTAAAAAGACCGGTATTCATGAGCACACACACACACACACACACACACACACACGGCACAACTTTCAGTTACTTTAAAATTCTATTTTATTCTTAAAAGGTAGCTGGTGACTCATTGAACAATTTTGATGACATAGAATGGGTTATAGTCTGCTGTTTGAAAAACATTTAGAAATATTGAAGAGGATATTTTCTAACGGCCCTTAGGCCGTTTTTATTGTTGTTGTTGGTGGTGTTTGTTTTTGCTTTGAGATTTTTTTTGTCTTTTTAGGGAGACAAAGGGGGCACAGACAGGGAGGGAGGAAGGGTGAATAAATGAAATCATGGTACAAAGTATGTACTTCGTGGATAATGAACTATGCAACCTGTGGGCAGGGCCAGGAAGGGGAAACTGAGGGAAAGCAAAAGAAGTGGTGACACTGTCCAAAAACAGAAATGTACTCAATGCCTGAATTGTGAAATGGTAACCACTGTGTAACACCTTAATAGCAATAAAATTACATTAAATAATAGTATACGATGGAATCTGTCACGTCATGATGTTTGACAAAATTGTATTTAATTGCAGCTTCAGTGTCATTCTCCATGTGACGCTTTAATCTAAAAATGGGTTAGATTTATGTGATGCTGTGCATATACTATTCAGCTCTTGGGCTGCTGGGAACATAATTTAAAAACAGTCCCTGTTGCTGTGCTCTGAAACGGATTCCTTAGTTCGTTGCCAGTCTATATTCTCTATGGTTTCCTCTCAGTCAGTCAGGGAATACCGAAAATGTACCTAGGTGGGCCATTTCTGTGAGACCGAGGACTCCTCTGCTTTTTACCAGCTGGAGATCTGGATAGCCTTGCATGACTTTCCTTCTTCCTTCCCTGGGGACCAGACTTACACAAAGTGTGAAGACCATACCTTATTTCTTTCAACTCCTTTCTCATTTTCTCTTAGAGCCTTTTGCTTCAGATTTCTTGTACAGTGAATTCTATCTTGGCATCGGTGCCTCAGATAATTCCCCCCCTCTGCCCCCCCCCACACAAAAGAAAAACCAACCAAAGACAGTCAGGTGCTTTTCAGGTTATTCTTCTACACAACCATTTTTAAGCTTCTGACTGCCCAGTGTTAGCAGTCTTCTGTGGAGGGCACTGCCCAGCTATCCACTGGACTTGCCCATTTTCCCAACTTCCAATCTAATCTGGCCCAGTGCCTGTTCTTTCTCCAAGTTTTCCCACTTACCTCACCCTTACTCTTGGCCAAAGAAAGCATGTACTCTCAGCAGATGCTTTCTTGGTTCTGGACCCATGGTTGAGTTTTTCCACTCCAAGTTCTTTCCCCTCTATTCTGAGGACCATGTAGAAGTGTTTTATGCAGTGTGTTCACCCTCTGGGGTGTGTTCAAAGGAGGTTATGTAGCCCAGTGGCCATCTATGGAGCATGGGGCCAAACAGCTCGCTCTGCCATCGTTTCTTAGAGGCAAAGAGCTGAGATCGCAAATGCTCGGGGGGATTCTGAGCCACACACCAACCACTCAAGCCTCTTCGTGTTTCTGGTTTTAATAGCAACAATTCTCAGATCCCTTCCAATTCGAACACACACTGACTTTCCAAGGCCAGCATCTGGCACACGGACGAACGGATGGCGGATACACTTCTCAGAAAGCAGGCCATCCTCAGACGGTTCTACCGGGAAGGCGCAGGCGCGCGGCCCTCCTCGTGGGCGGCTTCCGGCCACACCACGCGTGTTCTCGGCGGGGTCGGGGTGGGGACAGGATCTTGGAACCGGCGGGCGCGCGTGGGGCTGGCGGAGGCGGGATTTCGGGGCCTGGTCGCGTCGGAGGAAGGGTCTGGGGACGGAGGAGGTGTCCGGCAGCGCTTTCCAGGGCTTTTCCTGCAGGCCCGGTAGTGTCATGGCCGCCTGGTCTGTCCGTCCGTCCGTCCAGCGGTCTGTCGGGGCGCCGGGCGGGCTCAGTTCTGCGCGCCCTCCGGCCCCAGGGTGTGCTTGTCGAACAGGTACTCGGCCAGGCCCGAGTCGGGGGCGCCCAGGGCCGCCAGGTTGTGCACGTGGTCGGCCAGCTCCTTGATGGCCCGCACCTGCTCGCCCAGGTAGTGCGTCTCCAGGAAGTCGCACAGGTGCGGGTCGCCCTTCTCCGCGGCCAGCGCGTGCAGGTCGAGCAGCGCCTGGTTGACGTCGCGCTCCAGGAGCAGCGCGCGCCGCATGGCCTGCAGGCCGCCCTGCCAGTCGTCCAGCGCCGGCCGGGGGATGTCGCGCAGGCGCAGGCGGCCGCCGCGCTGCGTCTGCAGCCGCATCAGGCGCTCGGCGTGCTCGCGCTCCTCGCCGGACTGGCGCCGGAAGTAGCGGGAGAAGTTGTCCAGCGCCACGTCGTCTCGCGAGAAGTAGTGGGCCATGGACAGGTAGACGTAGGAGGCGTGCAGCTCCAGGTTGATCTGCTGGTTGACGGCGGCCTCGCAGTCCGGGTGGTAGTTCTGGCGCACGGGGGAGACCGGCGCGGCGTCCCGGGCGTCGGCGGCCAG